AAACCTATTGGGACAGTTACTGTAGACTCAAGTTTACAAGCCAGATAAACAAGTGTCTGCTGAGGGGCAAACAAAACAAAAGGACCAACTTTAAAACTTCATTCACTTTCTCATTCATTTCCTCCAGCGTGTGCTCTCTTTATTAAGATTTACACACTGTTCTTTAAAACTACTGGTTACTCCATGATCTGGGTTTAATTTGGCATTGTCCAATTACCATTATTGTTTGTTTTTAAATGTAGTTTGAGGAGAATCTTTTTTCTCATTCGTGACTCAGTATTTTTGATCCTGTATTATGTTTAGTTTCTAGTCCCCCCATTGGCCAGGCCCCTCTACTACCTCTAATTTTAGTCTCCTGTTCGTCTATAAATTCCCCCTCGTGGCTTTGGGTGTAGTGGCAGCAGTCTGAGGTTCTGCCCCTCCTTGCGGTCATATGCAGTTAATAAATCTCCCCTATAATAATCATAATCATCCTCATCATCATCATTATCACCATCATGACTACCATCTCTGCGGATGAAAGGAACAAAGAGACGAGACGACAGACAAATGGACAGAGTTACCTGTAAGGTGGCCCTGCGGAGAAACAGAGTGATAGAAAGAGGAACGAAAGAGGGGATGTGGGCATAAAGGGATGACAGTGACGCAGGACTCAGAAATGGAGCTAACAGGCCCTAAATTAACAGCGAGATGGCAGAAAAGAGGAGCTGAGAGAGACGGACAGAAAAAAAAGAGGCCAGAATGAGAAAGATAAAGAAAGGTATGATGAAACATATAATCTGCATATTCAACATACTCATCTATGTCGCTGCTGCTGGGTGAAAACCCATAAATCATCTTTGCTTCTTTGCTTTTAGACTTTATAATAATACATTTATAAATTCTAATGATGCCAAAATCTTTATAGTTCATTGAGTCCAATTCAAAGATGGCCTACTGTAACTCAGTTCTTAAATTTATGTGGGTGAGACATTTTCACCCGACAGCAGTGACAGGTTAATCTAGGTACAGTATAAAAGGCACAGCAGGGTAGGTGGAATATCGCAGCAATAGTACAGTATCAGCTGTGTTACTGTCTCCTATTGTTACACTATTCCACCCACCTTAACTGTGAGCCTTTCGGTGTAGCAATTCCATATCCTTTGGAGTCCAGGTTCCCCCCGACTTTCATGGTGTCACAAGGCTTGCGCTGCTCAGTGTATTCGTTCATGGTGGACTCCAGGAGGAAGGCGTACTTCCCCTTGGACTTGCGGACCCTCGCAACACCCTCTGCTGTGGTTTTGGTGAAGACAGTCGGTTCGGCAGACTTCATGTACGACCACATCTTCTCGTATACGGCTATTTTGGACCTCTGGAGTGGAGGAGGGGAAGAGGAGAGAGCGGAGGTTAATTGAGAATGACTGGGCATCGTTTTGCTAACATACGAGGCCAGATTTCCTCACAGATGATGGTTTTCATAGTCCAGTGAGGAGAAGACTGCCATGGGGGAAGAGAGACCATGTAGGCCAGGCTGCACAGAAATGATTTTGCTTGAGTAAAAGAGATGAGAAAGATAGCCGTGTCACTCTTAAATTGCCTAAATCTTTGACAGGTGTAGATAAGGAAGAACAATGAGGATGGGTAAGGTCTCACACTCAAAGAACATAGAGTTACATTTAAGGCTATTTGTGCAATTTGACTGGACCTCAGTAGCCATTCAAGTGGCCTTGAGAAACAGGATTCAGGCAATTTGACAAAATTGTCACCATAGTGGCTCACTGAAGGTATTTCAGCCTTTTGCTTTTCTATTGTTAAACTGTACGTTTAACCATTTAAATGATGGAAAAACCTTTTAAAGAAGGTTACTGATATTCTGTATTCATACAACATACACTCTCCTGCAGCTGTAAATACTCAATAGCCCAGTACTGTGTTGCACTTAGGAGGATATGTGGCTCAGGAGGTAAAGCGGGTCATCCACTAATCAGAGTGGGCGGAAGACTAGAAAGGTGCTCTGCTAGTACAGTCCATTTACGATCTATTGGCGGAAATTGAATTAAATATTAATAGGTATGTTTAGCGTATTAGTGTATAATCACCTGAAAATAAGAATCGTTATTGAATCTTTAATCTACCACTGAAAATAGTCCCAAACAAATTAAATATTTACTCTTACTTGGATACAATCTGCTGAAAATTACAGCAGCCAATTTATTTAGTACATTACTTGGCCCTTAACAAAGTACATGTACTGTATGTAAACTGCTTTAAAATATTTGTCTCTTCAATAGGAATGAATGGGCTTGTGGCTGAGAGCTACAGACAGGGTAGTGAGACTAAATGTAATGAGAAACAAACTAACACATTGTTGGCTTTTCAGGGGATTTCTTGACCCTGATAAAGATACAGAACAACGCCAGCCTTGTCATTTAAGAACGGCATGTTACTGTTAACACATCCATGCTCTATGTCTACTTCTGGATGGCCATTCACACTTCACTGACGCCCAGAGCAATAACAGCCTCTCTAAACACAAATTTGATTATTCAAATCAACAAGCCATGCTTACTGAGACAAATAGGATGAATCTGAGATGTAAATATGAGAGCTGAGGAGGTGAAAACAATGCATGCTATTTATTATGCTGTCACAATGACATTTGATGAGAGACAAGTGTTTCTGTGCTTCTACAATAGAAACAACAGTACAGTACAGTACTGAGAATAGAATAGAATCAGGACACTATTTTATATGTTTTTACTACATTTCATTTATTGCTCCAGTTTCTCATAATGGTGAACAAACTGCTGAGGCTGATTTTCACTCTTATAGACCTTGAATGAAATTACACTGCCGATGGAGGGCTGTGTCTTCCATCTTCCATTTTGATCCTCTGGCATATAATGACATTTATAACCACATTTAAAATGTAACACTACGTCTCCCTTGACAAGTCAAGCATCAATCTTACTTTGAATGAGTTTATGACTGGAATAGTGGCATACTGATCCGGTTGTGTGCCATTATGAATTCAGTCACCTGCTGTAACAGAAGAGCTCTTCAGAGGACATCTGTCGGGCATGATGCAATAGATTGTATTATGTTTTGTATATAACATGCAATCCTGTGTGCAGTTCTGTGCACCAGTTTATATGTGTATGTGTGAATGTATGTGTTGTTGTGTCTGTGTTTGTGTGGACTGTGTGTACTCAAGAGTGAAAATAACAAGCAGAGGAGTCAAACTGTCATCCTCCACAAGCGTCCTGTTTCTTTCTTCTTTTTCTCTTCCAGTGATAAAGTGTTATTCTGTCGCTCTGCAAGCGACTAGGCAAGGCCTTAGCCACCGAAACCAGCGCCTGCGGGATAGTGTGTATGTGTGTTACTAGTGCGTGACGGACACCTATCCCATAATAATGTCACTCACATCCAAGAGGACCAGCAAGGCCCTCTTCTTTCCATTCTACCCTTTCTCTCCTTCCATTCCTTCTCTTTTTATTTCTCCTCTCTGTCCAACAAAGTCCATCAAAAATAAAAAAATAAAAACCTTGTCACCATCTACTTATTTACACCTCCATCCATCCATCTCTCACATTTTTCTATCTATTTTCTCTGTCTGGTCACAGCAAAAGTTGTATGTGCTTGTGTTTGTTGGTTTTGTGCACTGTGAATTTGTATCTGCCTGAGTGAGTGTGTGTGTGTGTGTGTCAGAGAGAGTGAGAGAGGGAGAGACAGTGATGATGATGACTGTGCATGTATAAAGCAGCGTCCGGCCTTGGAGGGATGGATGTGTGACAATACGGTGTGACTCTTTCCAGATTCTTTAACAATCAGTGAGGCTGTGAAGGAGGGAATGGATGCTGCAAGTCACCTTCAGGCATCCTCACTATGGAAAACACTTTTAAATATACATACACACACAAATTTGCAAACTCTGCAGGAGGAGCGTCGCACACACTCACATGCACATGCACATACACGCGCATACATATGTGGCTGAATACACATACAATACACATGCTTGCAAATGTACTCAAACATGCTCACACAAACACACATACGTACACACACACACACGCAGATAATTAATGGTGGTGGCGAATCCCCCTCAGCTGTGGGAGAGTAAATTGCTTTTTCACCCTCCACAGATTTCAGCCCGCTCGTTATGTTGATGATGCCAGAGCCGCTCACAGATGCACAAACTGTCTGCTACAATCCCAACCTCCACAGCCCCAAATACACACACTAGTGCACACATCTTTACAAAGCATAACTGTAAATTGGTATATATATATATATTTATATATACACACACACACAAACAATTCTGAATATCCTCACAGAGCATGACTACGTGACAGAGCAGATTTGTTTTTGTGCATGTGATGACACTGGTGTTTTGCCCATGTGTGCAGAAAATTTCTGTCTTCATCAGCATTGTGTGCATTTGTGTGTCTATATTTGTATGTGTTTATGAGTACTTGCAATCCAGTTGGGTGAATAGGTCAGTGGGTGAAGCCACTACAGGTCTCCTCTGGGGCCATTCACTCTACTCTGCTATAATTTCCTGCTCATATTTTATGGTAACAGCTTCCTGTAGTACATACTGGTCCAGCTCTGTCCACTTCTACTTATCTACTCTTTACTATTTATATTATGAGTATTACTATTATTATGACTGCTCTATTTGACAGGCATGGATGATGAAAGAGGCATGATTATGTTTGAGGATTTTAATCAAAATGTGTAAAAGTCTTTTTCTTCTAGCACTCCGTATCTTCCTCCGTGTGAACTTTGATGAAGCCATCAAGTTTTATACACAAATTAGCCGAAAAGTGAAAGCAAGACATTTCAGCTTAGCGTCACTTTTAAAAGTGTAAGCCTCTCTCAATTCAAGATCAGGAGAAAGTCATCCATTCATTCCTCTCCTCCCACCTGGACTATTGTAAATCGGTTTATTCCGTCATTAGTCACTTGTCCTTGTCCCACCTACAGTCAGAGCAGATTTCTGTTGCTTGGCTTTTGTCTGACTTCAATAAAAGAGACAACACCTCCCTCATATTTGCTTCCTCTTTGCTGCCAGTGTATTTCAGAAGGGACTTTAAAGTTGTGTTGCTTGTTTTTAAAGTTATGGTCTTACATTATCTAAACTCCTATACTGTCACTGACCTTTTTCTCCTTACTTACTTCCTTTTTCTATACTGTGCCACATGTGAGCAATAATGCAATAATGAATGGAGTGGAAGTGATGAATGCTGCAAAGCATAAAAGAATGGTGTCTTTCACCTCACATTTATATAATGGCCATTTAAAAATAACAAAAAGCATAAGAAATATGGAAAAATTGTCATCCATTTTTTTTAAATTGCCCTGTGGAGTTTTCTTACAAACAGTTATATTAACATTCAGTTTTTCTCACCATAAAGCAATGTATGTGTCCTTGAGGCCAAACAAATGTGTTGAATGTGCTTGTGAAACATTTGCAAAGACATTTTTTATCTGATTTTGAAACTTGCATTTATTTTATCCATGTTTCTAAGCTTGTCGTCTTCCCCACTTCTTGCTAGTATTACGTTTCTTGATGCGGTACTGCCAGCAACTGTCAACAAGCGGATCAGCGAGAAACCCCTTTGGTATGAAAGTGTGTTGGATCTATGTGTGCTCATATGTGAGGAAGATACAAAAAATGGGGAGACGCTCATTATTACACTGCTCCACTGTACTGCTAGTGGTCAGAAACTCTGCGGGGAACCTTTAATCTATTTCTGGCTGTCTAGATATAATCTAGATTGTTTCATTAACATTTCTCTGTAATTTATCTTGACATGTATGGTATCCTTGAAACTTTGTCACTCTTACTAGAATTTCAAATAAAGTTCTGTATGAACACAGCTGATTGTGCAGTGCTGGTTGGGTTTTAATAATAGTATTAACAGCCAGACGAGCTGGTTGAAAATAGTCCTCCTTTAGGTTGCCTGACTAGCTTTTCTGTACCCTGATCTCAGTAGCAAATTAACTTCACTTAATACTTGATACTAAAATCTTGAAATCCTAAAAACTTTAAAGGCATTAAGTAAATGAGCAGAGTGTGTTGAGTCCATACCCTGAAGAACTCCTTAGTAGAGCCTGAGTCCAGTGTCCCATAGGCTATCTCTGTCTGTTTGGCCAAGTCCTCTGCACTCTCTATGGGTGACACCATCCTCTCCACAGTGAGGAAAGCAGCCAGGTTGGCTGTGTAAGAGGAGATGATAATAAGGGTGAAGAACCACCACACACCTCCAACAATACGTCCAGACAGAGACCTGGAGAGAAGACAGATGGAGGCGAGGTAGGGAGAAAACAGGAAGAAGGGAGTGTGGAAAAAAGAGGTGGAGAGAAAGAAAAGATTTGAAAAAAGCAGACAGCAAGATTAAGGAGATACAGGAAAAGTATTGTAGAAGAGAAATTAGCAGAAGGACAAGTAGAAGATGATGAAAGAGAAAGATGAGGTTGAAGGTTGAAGAGATAAAAGAACAAAAAAGAAAGAAGGGAATAAACAGAGAAAGAAACATAATTAAGGTTAGCTCCTCAGAGATATGCAAAACAACACAGTGGCAGTGTGTGCGTGACTGTAAAACGACAGTACCCAATTCAGCACTAACAACAACAATGGCTACATGAAACTGATTGTAATCTGGGCGCTCCTCCATCTCTCTCATCCTCATCCCTCTCTTTTCTCTTTCTCCATGTTTAGATCCTTTATCTACCAATTGTGAGCAGAAGCATCAAAGTAAGTGGCAATTCATTTTGTTTGTGTGAACTTGTTTTCACTGCAAAGGGAAGAAAGCAAGCAAGAGTGAGCACATTAGGTAAAGAGGAGAGAAAGATGGGAAGTTTCTTCTAAGCGTTGCAGTCAATAAAAAGTGTGAGTGAGAGAGAAAAGTGAAGAAGGGTATTGGGCGAGACATACAGTTCCTCGGTTTTCTTTAAGGTAGAAAAACGTAATAAAGCCATCATTCATGGAGAACGAAGAGGAACATTTCCCTTTCAGGTCGTGCCTAACCTATGCAAAACCAACAAAACCCCCCCAAAAAATTGGCTCAAGGGAACTTTCACAGTAAAAGTGAATACCTCCATGTTATTCGTGTTCCTCATTAAAAAGTGGTTTGAGAATAACTTCATATAGAAAACATTGTGTGCTGACATCCAGATGATAGTCATTTTCTTCAATGGGTAAACCGGTGTTTTTCATTTAGTTTAATTTACTTATGTAATACCTATGTTTTTAGCCATTTGGGGGCAGCAGAAACAATACTGACTTATTACCAACCTTTACTTTGATATGACATTTTACAGTTGCTTATTTACACAACAACATTATCATTTATTTGGAGTTGTGTTTCTGGCCACCTGGGAGATGTAAGTCACTCTCCTTTTTGCCCTCTAATTTTAGTCTCCTTTGGTCTACCCACTCCTGGGGGAAACATCTGGCTCCTTAGCAGCTAAATGCTCCACT